GTCAGTTGTGTGGTGTGTGTCAGTGTGTGATAGTGTGTGATACTGTGTGTGTGTCAGTGTATGTGTGTGTGTCAGTGTGAGATAGTGTGTGTCAATGTGTGTCAGTGTGTAATAGTGTGTGTCAGTGTGTGATAGTGTGTGTCAGTGTGTGTAAGTGTGTATGTGTCAGTGTATGTGTGTGTGTCAGTGTGTGTCAGTGTGTGATGGTGTGTGTCAGTGTATGATAGTGTGCCAATGTGTGTCAGTGTGTGATAGTGTGTGTCAGTGTGTGATAGTGTGTGTCAATGTGTGTCAGTGTGTGATAGTGTGTGTCAATGTGTGTCAGTGTGTGTCAGTATATGTCAGTGTGTGATGGTGTGTGTCAGTGTGTGATGGTGTGTGTCAGTGTGTGTCAGTGTGCGATAGTGTGTGTCAGTGTGTGATAGTGTGTGTGTGATGTATGTGTCAATGTGTGTCAGTGTGTGTCAGTATGTGTGTGTCAGTGTGTGATGGTGTGTGTCAGTGTGTGATGGTGTGTGTCAGTGTGTATGTGTGTGTCAGTGTGTGATAGTGTGTGTCAGTGTGTGAGTGTGTGTGTCAGTGTGTGTCAGTGTGTGTCAATGTGTGTCAGTGTGTGTCAGTGTGCGATAGTGTGTGTCAGTGTGTGATGGTGTGTGTCAGTGTGTGTCAGTGTGCGATGTGTGTGTCAGTGTGTGATGTGTGTGTGTCAGTGTGATAGTGTGTGATACTGTGTGTGTGTCAGTGTATATGTGTGTGTGTCAGTGTGAGATAGTGTGTGTCAATGTGTGTCAGTGTGTAATAGTGTGTGTCAGTGTGTGATAGTGTGTGTCAGTGTGTGTAAGTGTGTATGTGTCAGTGTATGTGTGTGTGTCAGTGTGTGTCAGTGTGTGATGGTGTGTGTCAGTGTATGATAGTGTGCCAATGTGTGTCAGTGTGTGATAGTGTGTGTCAGTGTGTGATAGTGTGTGTCAATGTGTGTCAGTGTGTGATAGTGTGTTTCAGTGTATGTGTATGTCAGTGTGTGTCAGTGTGTGATGGTGTGTGATAGTGTGTGTCAATGTGTGTCAGTGTGTGATAGTGTGCGTTTGTGTGTGATCGTGTGTGTCAGTGTGTGTGTGTGTCAGTGTGTGTCAGTGTGCAATAGTGTGTGTCAGTATGCGATAGTGTGTGTCAGTGTGTGTCAGTGTATGTGTGTCAGTGTGTGTCAGTGTGTGAAAGTATGTGATAGTGTGTGATGGTGTGTGTCAGTGTGTGATAGTGTGTGTCAGTGTGTGTCAGTGTGTGATGGTGTGTGTCAGTGCGTGATGGTATGTGTCGGTGTGTGTCAGTGTGTGATAGTATGTGATAGTGTGTGATAGTGTGTGTCAGTGTGTGATGGTATGTGTCGGTGTGTGTCTGTGTGTGATAGTGTGTGATAGTGTGTGTCGGTGTGTGTCGGTGTGTGTCAGTGTGTGATGGTGTGTGTCGGTGTGTGTCGGTGTGTGACGGTGTGTGTCGGTGTGTGTCGGTGTGTGTCAGTGTGTGATAGTGTGTGATAGTGTGTGTCGGTGTGTGTCGGTGTGTGTCGGTGTGTGACGGTGTGTGTCGGTGTGTGTCGGTGTGTGTCGGTGTGTGACGGTGTGTGTCGGTGTGTATCGGTGTGTGTCAGTGTGTGATAGTGTGTGATAGTGTGTGATAGTGTGTGTCGGTGTGTGACGGTGTGTGTCAGTGTGTGTCGGTGTGTGATGGTGTGTGTCAGTGTGTGTCAGTGTGTGTCAGTGTGTGTCGGTGTGTGTCGGTGTGTGTCGGTGTGTGTCGGTGTGTGATGGTGTGTGTCGGTGTGTGTCGGTGTGTGTCGGTGTGTGTGATGTACAGACCCAGGGCTCCTGTACCTGTGCATGTGTGAGTGAATAGTCATCACAGTGTGGAGACAGGTTCCCATGACGTAAATGCACACAGTACATGACAGTACAGTATCATCATCAGAGGTTCAGGTTTAGGTTCAAGTAAGTTTAAGATATTCTATATTTACACAGAACAGACTCCTGTGAGCTTTAAGCCATGTTATAATGTTCTTATGTAGAATGTCAAAAACAGAGCTGGAGTTATGTTTTGTTTCATTCACATGTTTGAATAATCCTTTTATTAGTCTGTCTACTTCTCCAAAGCTCCAAATGCTCTGTTACAACTTGTGATATCATGTAGTTTTGAACAGCTAATTTTAGCCTCACTTGAACTTCTTTACCCTTAAATACACTAGAACAATTTTAACTTGTTGCTTTCATTTTTTGAATACAATATTTTTATTTCACCTTTTGTACAGTTGAGATTAACTGCTGGTGGACTGAGGAGAGAAGCAGTTTTAATGAGGCTAAAACAAGTTTGGCAAATACAGAGCTTGAATCCTTCAAGTGATTCTAGTGAAGGTGTATGGAGTTTAAAACACAGTGGAGCACTTCCTGCATTACCACAAGACATCACAAGGTGGAGTGTTTTCTGTCTGAGAGAAGAACTCTCACCTAAATCTCTAACACCCTTTAGTGTTAGAGTTTATGGTCCAGGTTAGCTAAGTATGGACTATAAATAAGATTACTCAAACCCTTCTATTTTGATTGATTCATACATGTTTGAGTAATCCTGTATTGTCCTGCATTTGAGGTTTGAGTGCAGAGAAAATTTCAGCTTTCACCTACCCCCTATCTCTGCCTATTGCTCTGTACTTATGTGTGACTGTTCAAAAGATTCAGATTCAAGTCAACAAGACAACAACAGTCACAGACATTTTTCAACAATGAGAATGAATACATGAAAATCTACTGCTTTTGGGGTTTACAATGAACAAAATGTAAAATAATGAAAAATATGACAATATGATATCCTGAAAGTCAGTGTGATGTCCTCCGGGAACATGGAAACCCTACATGAGTGTGTGTGTGTATGTGTGTGTGTGTGTGTGCGTGAGTGTTTACTGAGTGTTGCTATAGAAATGCGGTGATGTGCAGTGATGGTGCAGCTGCTTCAGTAAGGCCGGAGCTCAGGGACTCATTAGCACTAATGCACTGAGGCCTTAAATGAGCAGGCGTGGTTTGAAGAACACGACTTTGGGATCTTTTGTTATTAATTACGTTTAATTGTCTCATTTATCTTTTACAACATAAATAAAGACAACAGTTGTGACATTTTTCTATCAGAAAACAGAATGAGCCTCACATTGTCTCCCATTTGGGTTGCCAGTTTCAATGCAGTGTGTTTAAACCTAAAAGGACACTTACTAGTCCAAATACATGAAATGACAGCTCCTCTAAGTCCTTTATCTTTGGAGTTACGTCATGGGGTCAACCATAAGAATCCTAGGTAGAGAGGAGAAAAAGCTTCAGCTTCCTTTGAAGAATCCAACCATCTGAACCAGCAGCGGGAAAAAACTGAGATGCCAAGTGACCCTACAGCTGTATAATAAAAAACTACAACACCCACAAAACAGACTAGAATAAGCGCCCTCATCCTCTACTGCTCTAGTTTTAATGAACATTTGAGCATGACAGGGCACATACATGACCCGAGTGTTTGCACATGAGAGACAATGCTGCTGTGGAATAAGAAAACTCTCTAATGACAGCTGATCTAATGAGCTGTCAAATTCTTACAGTTTCATGTTGTTTAAAGTAGCCATGGTTATATTGTAGTAGCTGAATAACACCCTGTGGATCAATCCCCAACCTTGACCTCCAGTAGGGCCACCAAAACATGAAGTCATGTGACTGCCATGTTACATGCAAATGCTTAATAAGGGCCAAGGAGGAGGAAGAACAGTGAAGACAAGTAGCTATCACTGCTTTAGGTGGATCCAGATTCTCCAAACCAGCAGCATGAACAACAGTCAAAACTACAACTCCCAGAAAATGAACTACAACAAGCACACCAGTACACAAGAAGAGAGCTGTTTTTATCAGCCTTAGTGGTTATGCAAACGAGCCATGTGGTTTTAAGTTTTGTTTCTGTAAGACTAGCACAAACTTGCATTAAATTCTTTATATGATCAAACGGGCTGATGTGGTTCTATAGTGGTTATGCTTTATATGTTGTAAAGTTCAGTTTATTTATGCAGAACTTGTATGTTCGGTTTGATCTGTGCAGTGGATTGTGGGATACCTCATAGCTCCTTACTGCTGGTTAGGAACCTCCTGAGTTTCTTATGCTAAAGGAGCTATGAAAAGAAGCATAACTGCTCCTTAACTTACTCCTTCCCAACCTTACTGATGAAATCAGATGGTCCTTGTCATGGACGATGATGACGCACGTCCGTGTCAATGATAAGAAAAAGAACATCCTAAGTGCATTTAACCATTTTTGGATGCAGCCTTGACTCTGCATCGGAGGAGCCGACTCTGCGGGAGTGCTACAGTGGTCTTTGGAGGAAGGATTGTGGGAATTGAGAAGCAGGCAGTGACGCACACGCAGTTTTGGCTTTAGGAGTAAGGAGCTTAGAGGTCAGTTTGATGTATTCAGAAGTAAACTCTCTGTGATCTGAATGGTCACTACCTGAACCCCAGTGCCTGAACCAATCATGACTCAGTGCTCCTGGACTGTCATAGACTGGATAAAGATGTGGGCAAAGGGCGTAGTGTTCAGCTCCAGTCAAATGAAGCTGACGAGGCTAGTAGTTATAGCAGTGCATTTGGAGCCAAGTTCCATATTAGGAATAGAATTTTATTTAAAGGTTATAGAAAATATGAAGAAAAATAAAAACACCAGGATCATGTAGAGTGGATTAAAACAAACAGTCAAAAGAGCTGGAAGAGCCCCCATGCTCACTTCCTGTTAGGAACACGGCGGTTAGTCTCTGCTGCTCAGCGAGTGAATTCTGAAGGTTCCGAGCTTTCACATGAGGCATGCACATATATTGAGAATGATAAAATATGTATTAGACTAGGTTAAAGGTTCACCACCATCTGAAAACTTACCCACACTACTTTGGGAGCAGCTGTCCACTAATAATAACCCATGTTTGTTTTGTTTTGCAGTGGCCAATGAGACGAGGACAGGAAAGCCCCGCCCTCTGGCCCGCCTGGCACGTGAGTGTCCTCTCTGCTCTGACTGCACCCCATTCCTTCAAAACCCACCACCTCCTTTTCTGTGGTCAAGCTCTTCTCAGGTGACTGTTGTTCAAATTTAGTGTCTGAAAGTAGTGGAGAGGAATGGTCACTAGAGGTCAGTATAGAGTTCAGGCTTTACATGAAGACAACACAACCCAATCCAAATGTTTCACTTTCTTGGATCTTAAAGGTGCACTGTGTAGCTTTAAGCTTGTCTCCAGGATGTGATGTTCCTGGAATGTTCCACAATATCATATTATCTGTGCATGCATGCAGTTTATTTGTGTTTTTACTGATAGAACAATACTTGTCAAAACAAGAACATCTCCATGGAGACAAGCAGGTGGCATATACCTCCATCATAAGTTACACAGTGCATCTTTAATCACGTAAAAGACATATCACATCGATAATCCTCAAGATACCAGTTTGACCCTTTACTATTTTAGCTTGACAGATCAGATGATTTACTTCAATAGAATTTAATAGAACATGCATTTTCATATCTCCTTACCAACCAAACTATGTATATGTATATGCTTTATATATTGGAGGATCATTCTGTACATGCATGGGGAGTAAGGAGAGGTTGAGTTTTTGAGGTTTTATTCCATTGCAGTGTGTTTGTTGTGCAGGCTCGCGCTCCCAGAATGCCATGTGCTCTGGGGGTTCTCCGGGAGCCTCTCTGGGGGCCCCTGACCTCCGGGCCCTAGTGCTGGACCAGCGCAGTGCGGCTGAGATCCTGGCAGAAGAACTCCCATCACCAGAAGCTCCTGATGCCATGGAAAGGACGGCTGTCAGGTCTGAACTAACACTAGCCTGATGTTTGTTTCTACGCTGGATGTATTTGTATAAATCTATGATAATAATGGACTTTAAAATACATTAAAGGTCCTTGATTAGAGAACTTTAGCTTTTGTGCTGAGTCAGAAGTCAACCAGATGAGAAGTTAAAGGCGCTTCACCAGATTTTTGCTGTCTTAAAAACGTGAAAACCATAGTTATTTTTTTATTTTTTATATTTTTGGTTCAAAGTTCTTCCTCTCTTACCTTATGCATTATGAGCATCTTAATTATTTACCATAAGTTGATAAGCGCCTTTCATAAGTTTGAGAGACCAGAGTGAAATTCATGAGAATAAAACTAACAAAAACTAGCACGTTAACAGCATGTTACTTTTTGATTCTTGGACAATAAAACACTGCAAACTTATTTTGACCTAAAGATCTGCTTGCACAGTGTATCTGTAGTGGGGCAAGACACATTTTGCTCAAATACATAGAAAAAATTTTCAACAAAATTGTGAAGGTAAATATAAGTAAAAATACAATAAAAACACAAAACATTACTGGCAAGAACCTGTAGAGTTAATAAAAGTGGTCCAGTACTTTGGAGATTGGACCACTTTGGAGATTTTTGTTCCAACATCTCTGACTCTTTCTGTTTTGTGTTTGTTACTGTGTTTATGAGTTACTTCGTTAGTTAGATGGTTAGTTGAATAGTTAGGTAGCTAATTAATTTGTTCATTTGTTAATAAATCAGATTAGATACATTTTCATTTACATGAAAAACTAAATTTTTGCTCACAGCCAACAGTAGATGCAGTAAAAGTAATATATAGTCTATCTCCAATTTTTACAATTTCATGGAAAAGTTCAATATTTTTGTCAAGTGAGTTTGCAGGACAATCACCATGAGTAACACCATGGTCAGTGAGCCTTCTTTTGGTTCCTTTGGCTGTGTGGGCAGGTGCCCTGTTCTGCTGGAAAATGAAATCAGCATTTTCCATAAAGCTTGTCAGTAGAAAGAATGAAGAATGAAGTGCTGTAAAATGTCTTGGTAGATGGTTGTGCTGACTGTGGACTTTAAAAAACACAGTGGAGCAACACCAGCAGATGACATGGCAGCCCAAATCATCTCTGACTGGAAACTTCACACTGGACTTCAAGCAACGTTTCTGTGCCTCTCCACTTTTTCTACAGACTCTGGGACCTTGATTTCTGAAAGATATGCAAAATGTATATGAAAAGAGACTTTGGACCACTGAGCAACAGTCCAGTTATTTTCTCCACAGCCCAGGTAACACTCTTCTGACATTGTCTCATGTCCCATGGGCTTCATCTGTGCACTGCCACGCCAGCTCTTGATGCGCTGTCTCTAACTTCAGTCCACTCCTTATGAAGCTTCGTCTTGAGCAGATTTTGCTTGACAATCCTCCCAAAGCAGTGGCCATCCTTTTTGCTAATGCACCTTTTCCTACCACATTATTTTCTTCCACTCACGTTTGTATCAATCTGCTTGGATACAGCACTTAACAACCAGCCTCTTTAGCAGTGACCTTAGCAGAAGCCCACTTGTCCTTGTAGTCCACTGACCCAGACTGAGAGACCATTTAAAGGCTCAGGAAACATTTGCAGGTGTTTAATTAGCTCATTAGGGTGTGACTCCGTGACTTTCCAGCATTCGGATGTTTTGAGAATTTTGGGTTTTCATTATGTATAAGCCATTATCAATCAATCAGTATTTTAAGTAATAAAAGCTTGAAAGCTTCACTTTATGTGTCATGAATCTATATATCGATTTGACTTCTTGAAACAAATTTTTTCATATATTCTAATAGTTGGAAATAGACTGTAGACTCTCCACTCAGAGTCTCTGATGCAATAGCCTCACAGGGCGTGGATATGATGAAGAATCAAAGTGTTGCCCTAAAAAAATTGTGCTGGTAGAGGCCTCTCCAGAAGTTAGTTATGTATGTAGGTAGGTTAGTTAGATAGAGAGGTAGTTAAGTAGTTAGTTGAGCTGGGGACATGCTATTTAATCTGAAAAATCAGGCTTAAAGGCTTGAGGTAGGTAGTTAGTTAGGTATGTTGGTAGCTTGTTAGGTTGCTGCTGACTTCCTGAGTGCTGGTCTACTGTGTTGCAGGTTGAGGTGTCTGGTGAAGCAGCTAGAGAGAGGAGAAGCTTCTGTGGTGGACCTCAAGAAGAACCTGGTGTTTGCTGCCACTGTGCTCGAGTCTCTGTATGTGGAGGAGACCAGGCAAGAACACACACACACAAACACACACACGTACATGCAGACACACAAACACACCCCTACACAAACATGTACATGCACACACACACACATATATATATATATATATATATATATATATATATATATATATATATATATATATATATATATATATATATATATATATATATATATATATATATATATATATATAAATATACACATATATATATATATACATATATGTATGTATGTGTGTGTGTGTGTGTGTGTGTATATATATATATATATGTATATATATATTTATTTATTTTATATTTATATATATTAGTGTGTGTGTGTGCTTAGGCGTCTGATGGACCTGGAGGATGAGTTCAGTGACATACACTCGGATTGTGTGCCCTCGGAGGTGAGGGACTGGCTGGCCTCCACCTTCACCCGGCAGAGGACGCTCCTGAGACGCCCGGACGACAAGCCCAGGTTCAGGGCCATCGTCCACGCTGTGCAGGCCGGCATCTTTGTGGAGCGGTATGTGTCTGTGCTCGGACGAGCAGGGGTTAGTGAAATTAAACTGAGTGACTCTTGTGCTCAGTTTAACAGAGAATACTAGAGAGAATACTAGGAGTTTTCTAATACGGTGCTTGTTTGTAGAATGTACCGACGCACCTCCAACCAGGCTGGCCTCTGCTACCCCTCCACTGTCATCTCTGTGCTCAAGGTACTGAATATCAAATAAATTAAAGAAAGAAAAGTTAAACTTTTTTTTTTTTCTTTACTACAGAATTACAGAATTCCATATATTTTATGTCATTAATTAATGTAAACATTTTCAAAAAAATAAGAAAAGGGAAAAAAAAACAAAAAAAACAAACTTTTGACTGGTAGGGTACATTTTACTGCAGTTTTCCTTTTAATTAAGATAAGATATGTGGTAAGATATATCAGTCTATATTAAGAATTATAAGCTGTCATCGCATGTTTCCAAACGTCTCCCTGGTTTTTGACGTAAGCGTGAGCCTATCTTTCTGCATCACATAGCCAGTGACTCACCTGACAGGCAATCACAAAGTGATGCACCTCATAGCCAATGAGAAAGCTTGTGCCTCTTACTGTGCCCTGTAGACCTCTGTCATCGGTTGATCCACAAAGACTATGTGGAAAACAGCTTGGAGCAGCAAAACTTTGGCATATGTGTGTGTATGAGCCTGGATTTACTATTAAGTCAATAAATTAAATCATTTGCATCACTGAGACACATCTGGCCCTCCAACAATTCAGGTCACCTCACCTCAGCTGCACTGGACTTGACACTGGACTGTTAAACAAATATAGTTTGGTGAATTGAGGCCAGAGTAATCGTAGTCTGTTTTGCCCATGTGGATCCATGTGAATGAGCAGATTTACACAAACACTGTGTTTCTCTGATTGATCGTGTTTGTACAGAACATGGACATGTGGTCCTTTGATGTGTTTGCTCTGAATGATGCCAGTGGAGACCATGCCCTCAAGTTTGTCTTCTACGAGCTTCTGTCCCGCTACGACCTCATCAACCGCTTTAAGGTACACACCAACAGCCTCATCAACTGTTTTAGAGTACACACCAACAACCTCATCAACTGTTTTAAAGTACACACCAACAACCTCATCAACCGCTTTAAGATACACACCAACAACCTCATCAACCGCTTTAAGATGCACACCAACAACCTCATCAACTGTTTTAAAATACACACCAACAACCTCATCAACCGCTTTAAGATACACACAAACAACCTCATCAACTGTTTTAAGATGCACACCAACAACCTCATCAACTGTTTTAAGATACACACCAACAACCTCATCAACCGCTTTAAGATACACACCAACAACCTCATCATCCGCTTTAAGATACACATCAACAACCTCATCAACCACTGTAAGATACACACCAACAACCTCATCAACCGCTTTAAGATGCACACCAACAACCTCATCAACTGTTTTAAGATACACACCAACAACCTCATCAACCGCTGTAAGATACACACCAACAACCTCATCAACTGTTTTAAGATACACACCAACAACCTCATCAACCGCTGTAAGATACACACCAACAAACTCATCAACTGTTTTAAGGTACACACCAACAACCTCATCAACCGCTGTAAGATACACACGAACAACCTCATCAACCGCTTTAAGATACACACCAACAACCTCATCAACCGCTTTAAGATGCACACCAACAACCTCATCGACTGTTTTAAAATACACACGGAAGACCTCATAAACCGTTTTAAGGTGCATACACACAGCCTTATCAACCACTTTAAGGTATTAAATATTTGTAAGATTGTCATTTAAATCTCTTAAACATGACCAGACTGTTGAAACAGAACCTCACATTTGGGTTACCATTTTCAGTGCAAAAATTCTGCTGTTTAAACCTAAAGGACTTGTGTCCTCTGGGGTTAAGGCACTGGCAACCCAGTTCAGTAATCATAGTAGTACATACAATAAAACAGTAAAAGCACAGGATACATACAGTTCCTTTAAATACATCATTTTAAATAATAATCCATAACCATGTCAAATTTGACTAAAATAAGTTGAATGACACATGTGATGACACATCTCTCACACCTCACGTTTGCTTGTTCTTCCTCTGAGTCAGTGGGTCTCCCATGGGTGCTTGTTTACACATGAAATGTTTCCTATGGCATATTGATATTGATATATTGATACTACAGCTGATGCCATCAATTTTCCCTGGGGTTGTGAAGCTAACTGTAGGGTTTGCTCTGTCTGAAGCTCTGTTAGACACACGCACACGCACACCTACACCCACACCACACACACACACACACACACACACACACACACACGCACACACACACACACACACCCACACACGCACGCACATGCACTTGCACACACACATGCACACATGCACACACACAGCATCCAAAATGATCAGTTTTTCCATCATGGACTTCTACGATCTCATTACAATCACAAGCTACCAAACTGAAACTCCTAAATAGGACTATGAACGCTATTAATCACAGGCTCCTGCAAATGTGTTGTTTATTTATTTATTTATTTAAGCTTTTAATAATAATAATAATAATAATGGATCAGTTTTATATAGCGCTTTTCTGGACACTCAAAGACGCTTTACAGAGCATTATTCATTCACTTCACACTTGGTGGTGGTAAACTACTACTGTAGTCACAGCTGCCCTGGCAGCCCTGGAAGTAAATGGTCACATTTTTCTATAGCGCTTTTCCACATTCAAGGCAGTCAAAGCGCTTTACAACAAGGAACCACTCACCCATTCACACACTTTCACACACCATCGGCACCTCTGATCATCACCACCATCACATGCACACGCACATGCACACCACTTTCAAACTAGGCAATGTGGGTGAAGCTCCTTGCCTAAGGACACAATGACACCTGATTTTCCCAGTGGTTTCCCATCCAAGTAGTGACCAGACCTGGCCCTGCTGAGCTTCTCAGATCTGACAGGATCAGATTTTGACAAGCCGCTATGGCCACTTAAAACTGTTTTGACAGTGTTTGCTAATATGCATTGTCTTGCTGAACACTCCACCATAGAGATACTTGTAGAACACCCCCAACATGATGTCACAGTATCAATAGTCCAGCCACCTTCACATTTTATTGTTGAGAAGAGCATCAAGCTGATTTATTAAATGTCCTCAATTAAACCCACATGTAATAGTTTGAATTCCTTCTGCTTTGTTGTTCTCTCACAGATTCCCATCTCGTCTCTGCTGTCCTTCTTGGACCTGCTGGAGGAGGGCTACAGTAAACACAAGAACCCCTACCACAACCTGATGCACGCTGCCGACGTCACACAGACCATCCACTACCTGCTGCTCCAGACCGGTGTGATGGTACGAGGAGACCAGAGGAGACAACACAACCACAGACAACACAACTCAAGTCATACAGTCAATCATCTACACATTCCACACTATTTACTACTACTTCAGTAATATAATGATGTAAGAACTTACTTAAAAGCACGGCACCTGTTTTTAACTGTCTTAAAATGTGAAAAAATTAACTTATTCATTTTAACCCTGTTGTGCAGTGGTCCAGTTAAGTCATTCCTCTCTTTCCGTATGCATTCCAAACATTGTAATTATTCACTGAGGTGAGTTTACAAGCAATTTTCACAACTCAGAGACCAAAGTTTTGTTGAGATGGTAAAGCTACCAACAAATCACATGCTAACAGTGTACTTCCTGATTATTATTAAGCATGACACAAAACAATACACTACAATTTCACAAACCTGATGTTATGTGCAATGAGAAGGAGCAAAGCATGATGGTCTGTGTAGTCCTCCATAATGCTAAAATAATGTTCTTCACAGCACTGGCTGACTGAGCTGGAGACTTTTGCCATCATCTTTGCTGCAGCGATCCATGACTACGAGCACACAGGCACCACCAACAACTTCCACGTCCAGACCAGGTGAAGGATTACACTACTTTTGATTTTAATGACTGCGTTTTTTATGGAAGCTAATTTCCACAAGTAAATACAAACATAAATACTTAATACTAATACTTCAGTATTAATTATTCTGCAAAACTTTTCAGAGCTTTTAACTGTGTTATAGTTGTTTCCCCTCACATGTACTCATCTGAAGTTGTATTTGGAGTGATTTGTGCATGTTTGAGTCATTAATTGCTTATTTTCAAGACATCATATTGCGAATCAACCCATTTTCACCACCAGTACACACCCACTGTGATGTACTTACCTCTTTCTCCAATTTTATTTTCTTAATTGGTGATACTCACAGGATTCAGCAGTGTTGCATAGTAATTTTGGTTCAAGTAAAAAAAAAAAAAAAAATGCTGCTTGATAGTGTGATTAATAGCTATCCACAGGAGGGGCCCACAGCATGTGGGGCTTTATTGTCTGGGCACCACAGTTTGCTGATGCGGAAGTCAGAGGGCTTGTTTCTTTTTGTTAAGTCATGTCAGATAAATATGGTGATTTAACTGTAAAAAATGCTGCACAAATTATAACATACTGATCCACAGGGGTCATAGATTAAAACTATATGGCAGACACATGCACAATATGTCTTCTTTAATAGTCATAATTAGGCATTTCAAAATGGAGTCTGAACCTGCCCATGCCACACAAGCACATGGGCTGCATTTCCTGGAGAAACTGTTTTACACCCACTACAAGGAAAAACAATTCCTTGTTTCAATGTTCCCTGCACCAAAATGATTTTCCATTAGCCCATGATTTCATCACTGAGTGACCCCAAGTGCCATGTGCAAAGTACCCAGTGAGGCTCAGGGCTTCCCAGGGTCAGAGGAGCAGGTGCACCACAGTGCCAAAGCTGTGGAAGGGGAGGGTCTCTGAGCGTGAGGTTGGATGCTGTGTGCAGTTTGTTTGCGGCTTTTAATCATGGGATTAAAAGTCCTAATTATGAGTAATCCTTTCTGTTTGGGATGAGCAATAATCAGATTTTCTTGAATCGGCACTTCCTGCTTGGTTCATAGGTCAGACACGGCTATGCTCTACAATGACCGCGCAGTCCAGGAGAACCACCACATCAGTGCTGCATACCGCCTCCTACAGGCTGAGGACGAGAACAACATCCTGTGCAACCTGTCCAAAGACGACTGGAGGTCTGACACTTTTCACAGACCATACTGTTTAGTCCATATGCTTTACTATTGAACTGAGCTCCTTCCAGTTGAGTTGAGTTGAGTTGCCTTAAGGTGTCTTAACACACTTAGAGCCCCTCCTATTGAGTCCTTTCTGCCACTGTGATACTGCACCATGACATGGGTTTTGCTGGTGGTTGTAGGGAGCTTAGGTCCCTGGTGGTAGAGATGGTTCTGGCCACAGACATGTCCTGTCACTTCCAGCAGATCAAGACCATGAAGAGCCTCCTGCAGCAGCCTGACACGTGAGTACTACCCTGGGTTTACTGGGACCACTGGGGCATAGCGGGACCACCAGACTCTGTGACTGAAAAGCACTATTCAACAGTAGGCGGCTACAGAATCCGAATTATGATTAGGATGTTAACACAGACACACATTTATTTTTCAAAAAAGCAACAAAACAATAGTGCCATCAAAAGATTAGTGAAATATTAGTTAATGCATTATATGGATTTAGTAGTTTTGTGTTGATGATGCACTTTATTGGCAGTTAAAGTGACTCTTCTTGTGCATGATCAACGTCTAGTATAGACAAGCCCAAGGCCCTGTCTCTGCTGCTGCACACAGCTGACATCAGTCATCCTGCCAAACGCTGGGACCTGCATCATCGCTGGACCTCCTCCCTGCTCGAGGAGTTCTTCAGACAGGTACAGCTCACCAGTCTGAGCCTATAGAGTAGAACAGCACTGTGGTGTGCAGTGGTTAAAAAGTTGCTAATGTCCCCTGACTTATTAGACCAGTGGTGCACAGAAACTCACTGCTGTCACCTTTGACCTTTGACCTGTACTTGTGTGTCTCAGGGGGACAAAGAGGCTGAGCTGGGACTGCCCTTCTCTCCTCTGTGTGACCGCAAGTCCACCATGGTGGCTCAGTCCCAGATTGGTAACTACTAGATTGCTAATCTTATATGATCAGTTATTTTACTACTGCATACTGTAAATGTTTAGTTGGAATAAACTTACTGGTATTTTAGAAAATGTTCCTTATTTAATTATGTTTCATCCTACAGTAACGATGTCGGTGGTTTGTGCATTCATTTAATTCATTCATAATAAGATATTAGTATTAGATAATAGTATAAGAGTGTTGGTCAGTGAGATGAGGCTGCTGTGCTGTGTGTACAGGTTTTATTGACTTTATCGTGGAGCCCACCTTCACCGTGCTCACAGACATGATCGAGAAGATCGTCAGCCCTCTGATGGAGGAGACCAGCGGGCTGCGACACTCCAGGTACCAACACATCACAGATACCAGCCACAGGCACCAGCCACAGGCACTAGCCACGGGTACCACACATAACAGGTACCACACATGGAGGGCATTCTCTGTGCACCATGCTTGTGGAGGGCAGCAGGGGGAGCTCTCAGTAATATCACGCTCTTGAACATTATGATGCTAAATTAAACCTCCTCACCCCTGTGGTGTGTGTCAGTCTGAACAGTGTGACTGGCAGTGATGTGAAGAGCGTCCACAGCACAGCGTCTGAGGGCTGTGTCCCTGTGGCCTCTGTGGACTTCAAGAGCTTCAGGGTCGTGTGGAACCAGGAGATCACGAACAACCGCGACACATGGAGGAGACAGGCCTCCATAGGTACTCCCCTTACACACCCAGCTATTCCAGCATTCACTTAGATGTTATCTATCACTGAATCATTCACAAAAGTCCTGACATTTTAAACCAAATGTCATACCTCAGATGTGGAGGACAAGTCCAGGAAGAAGACCAAAGTGGACCCTGAGGATCTGGAGTACAGGGTGCTGAAGACAAATACTCCTAAGACAGAAGACACTGTAAAGAGGACAAAGGAGACAGTGGACAAGACTGTGGCCCCACCCCCTGTTCAGAGACAGGAGCAGACAGCTGAAAGGTCACATGACTCCAATAGCCAACCAGAAAAGACCCCTCCAGCACATAATGGTGAGAAACAGGATGGAGGTTTGGGTGAAATCTTTGCACTGGACAGCTTTAGAAAGGGTTACACGAGAAACACAATGTGAGCTGCTCTTGTGAATGTCTTTGCAGGACAGTCCCACCCACGGCCCATAGTCTACTACTACAAGCGGCCCAGTTACTGCGCTCGGGCCTACCAGGTGGTGCGCTCCAAGATGACGGACATGAGGCCCATTGACGCCCGAGGGAAGGCCCGCAGATTGCAGAGGATCTCCCTCCGCCGCCGAAAATGACCAGCCCCTGCCCCTTTCCCCAGTATACCCAGTCCCTTGCCCTTAACACCAAGCCCCTTACCCCAATATACCCTCACCTCAAGATCCAGCCATTTTACCCAGCCCCAGCCCTTTACCCTGGCACCCAATACCCAGTCCCTTTAGCTCGATACCAGTTCCTTACCCTCATTCCCAGCCCCCAGTGCCAGCTCCTGATCCCCCAGACCTGATACACAACTCCATATGCAGATACTCAGCCCCTTCACTCATTACCCCAATACAAGCCTCTTACCCAAATACTCAGCCCCTACAGTATTACCCAGGGCATTGAAAGTCCATAATCTTCAACTTTTTTATGCATTAGTCTAATATGCTTCACTATATTAATGCTCTATTTTTATTTATTTAAGGCTTACTTTGCACAATAATTGTGCATACATAACTTGCATTTATGCTGCTCCTTTGAATAAAGCTTCATAAGCATGTTTTAATATTACGGCCATGTAAGGCTTTATTTGATAAGACAGTATACTAGGAACATGAGAAGAGAGTAGTGAAGACATTTGGCAAACTGCACATGCGTCACTGCTCTACCATGAGCCGCACACACTCCTGTGTCCTTATGAGGTAATAAAATATGTCTGTATTTATTTTAACAAAGACTAAAATTATTGTCTTTTCTCAGAGCACTGTGGAGTTTTGAAAGATTGAGAAAAAAACTTTAGGGGGTTCCACAGGGGTCAGTTCTGGCACCCTTTAACTTCTGATATAGTATTAACATGCATCTTTGGAAAATTAACATGACAAATTTACAAAAAAAAAACAACAACCCTAAAATCTACAACTGTAGCTGTCCCCAGCATCTCACAGAAAAACACAGCATACTTATTCATAAATAATAACATATTTCATAGAAATGTATGGAGAGAGTTGAATTCTATCAGATAAAAGCTGTTTGCTCTTTGCACTGGAGCCAGTTCTGTAACTTTGCCATTTTTGCAGCTGTGGCATTTTAATGTAATACTTTCCAATGTATTTTCAAAGAAATAACAATAAATTACTAATAAATGCACAAATGCATTTTTTCAGGATTTTTGTCAGTATTAATACTTTGCAGCGATATCATGCAGGAGGTGTTCTACATGTATCTCTGTTACTAGTTGGAGACAGAATGCACACATTATCAAACACAGACAAAACATTTAAGATTGTCTGAAAGTTCAAGAAATAAATTAGTGTCACAGCCCCAAAGGAATGCTGTTCAAAAGTATCAGTTGGTATCTAGAGTCAAAAGTGTTGATGCAATGTTACATATCTATGTACTTGCTGGTATAGGGTATGTAGTGTGCCATACCATTCTGTGTAGGTGGTAGGGTTCAGTGTACTAGTGCACATGGTCAACAATACCAAACATTCTGCTCTAAAATGCAGCTTAATCTCCCACATCCTTCTCCTGCTCCTCCATGTACACCGCTTTCTTCTCTTCTTTCATCTGACGCACCCCTGTAACAGATACTGCTGTTAGGACCATCAGAGCAGCAATGATGTATGAAAGAAACCAGTCACACTCACAATCCTATTTCAAATACCAATGTGTACAGACCAGCTAGAATGCAAGTGTCTAGTTCAAGGACACAACTATAACACCTCAGAAACATCTCTGCCAACAGAGCTTCATCCATAGTAGTGCCCTCAAAATCAAAATACACATAGGGAGACATAGACATAAACAGACATTTTCTAAGAACTCAAAGCAGAACAATGCTTAATTACTCAAACATGCAGGAATCAATCAAAATACAACTGTTCATGATGAAGGAACTCAGTTATCACATGGTTAAAAGCTAAAGATTTTACATAATATCCCCCCTTTAAACACACTAACCCACGAACAAGCCTCTGAATAAACCGTTATGGTTCATTGTGCCCCTATAATACAAGACAAAATTCTCCATCTGGAGACAAAACATATTATAATACTGTATAAAATATTACCTAATTTTAGGGGGAATGTTCAGATTCAATCAGTGTCTGACAAAATCCTGAGATGCATTTATAAAAAGCAACACCAGCAGAGGGCAGTAAGCGTCTGTTGACATTGTGCAGGAAAAGCACTTAAAGCTAAAAACTTGGGAACTGAAATGATCAAAGCAAATCTAGGAAGCAACTGCAGAGGTACAGAGTACCCAAGTAGATAGAAGGAGATAGACGAAACAGAACAATGAAACATGTCTGAATGAAACCAAGCTCCTGCTGTTTTTGAGGAGCGTATGAGTTTTTGTATACTACTTTGTCACTAACCTGGTATATGTGGTGGAGAGTTGAGCACAGGCGTGTCCTTCCTGCGAGGCTTCTTCAGGTGGTCTTCGTGGTGCAGCTCTGCAGTGAGGCTCAGATGGTCCTCGTGGTGCAGCTCTGCAGTGAGGCCCTCTGTGTCTTCTTTAGCCAGGCCCTGGACTTAAACCAACAGAAAAAAACAACTGTGAAGAATGTGATGAGTGGACACAGTTGTTATAAAAAATTTTATGTGCCAGTATTTGGTGGGTAATAAACAGAAAATATACAGCTCAGAAATATAATAGTACATAATAAAGGTGCACTATGTAACCTTTCCAGTGGAAAGCCCACAGTCTGGGTGTCTCAATGGAGATGTGATTGCTTTGCCTAGAAAATTCCAAAATTCCACATGTATAGCATTAAACATGTGCACCTCTATGGAAACAAACAGCTGACGGCTCTAGACATGACAGATCAGATCTGTGGAAAGGGGTGTGCCCACTGACAGAATGCATGTCTTTTAGTGTATTTCTTTTTGCCATAAAAATAATGAATTAATTAATCATTGCATTTATATAGCGCCTTTCAAGATACCCAAAGAGCTTTACAGTTCATTATTTATTCACTCAACCCTCAGTGGTGGTAAACTACTACTGTAGCCACAGCTGCCCTGGGGCAGACTGATGGAAGCGAGGCTGCCAATCTGCACCATCGGCCCCTCCGACCACCACCATCTCACACACACACACCCACACCACTTTCATACTAGGCAATGTGGGTGAAGTGTCTTGCCTAAAGACACAACACAAGTTTTTGCCACTGGTGGACACCTGGAATTCCCAGTGGTCTCCCATCCAAGTACTGACCAGGCCCGGCCCTGCGGAGCTTCTGAGATCTGACCGGGCCAGGCTTTGACAAACTGGTATGTCCACCATAAAAACTCATGTAAAGGATTAAATGATAGGTTTAGTGTCACACTGTGGAACATTCCAGACAAAGCAAATACTGAGAACTGTGACCAGAAGAACTATTCAATACAGAGAGATTAAGTGAGAAAGGTAGAAAAGAGACAGAGGGAGAAAGAGAGGAAGAAGAGAGAAAGGGTTAGTGCAAGACAGAAATCAAGAGAGAAGAGAGAGAGAGCAAGAATGAGGACATGAGGAAAAGAAACAGAAGAGAGAGAGAATAGAGGGAGATGGAATGAAGGAGAGAGAGAGATGAAGAGAGGGATGGACAAAGAGAGAGAGAGGCAGAGGTACTCACAGTTGTGCTCTGGCTCCAGGGTGGCCTCCACACAGCCTGTCGTCATGTCTCCTCAGGCCCTGCAGGATCACATATCACACACACACACACAAATGCACACACGCACGCACACACACACGCACCCACACACACACACGCACTGGTTTAGGATTTCCATGCTTCTGGGGACATCATATTGACTGCTCATTTCCTGGAGACGAACCCTGACCTTAACCTAACCCCTCACCTTCACCTATTTGAACCCATATCTGAACTTTTAATCACATTGTAGATCTAATCATAAAAGAGTTACGTGAGGGGGACCTGGTTTTTGTTCCAATGATGTGTGTGTACATATTTAGTCTTCACACTGTGATAAAGACGTGCACACACACAGACAGATGCATCTTTCATGAGAAGGACAAAGGATCCCTGTCTCTCTCTCACTCTCACTCTCCCTGCTTTGATTTGGAAAAGAATGGATGATACACAATTTTTATTTTCAATAACAGAAACAACAAATGTTTTAATTCTATGAGGGATAGAATTTCAGCTTTTTTTTTTTTTTTTTTTACTTGAAAGCATTCTTCAGACACAGTAATCTGACTGTTCTTTTTATGCCATATGCCCTGGACGTGACTGGAATAGGTAATGAAGTGTCTTGCTCAACATTTACATTCCCTTCAATTCAATGTCATATCCCAGTCTAGCAATCTGGTTTAAAATAAAACGAAACTACCCCGAATAGGAGAATAACCTATTTACCTATTTACCTCCTGGTGTGAGCTTACGCTGAAAATGACAAGCAAAAAGTTAAGAAAATATGTGTAAAAAAATAACATAATTTCAAAGTAACAAATAATAATTAATATCTTGTGTTCAAATGCAGGTTAACATTTAACACAAACCAAGCCCTGTCTTCACTTCACATCTGCAAAGCACTCATCAAATTCAACTATGAGCTACTCAAACAAAGAACAAATGTATCCAGATCTTACCTGAACCTCCGCTGTGTCCCCATGGTCCAGGGCAGTGAGGAGCTGTGGTTATGAAGCAGAAGGGCGGAGCTTAGTCCTCACAGGCCCTCCTCCAGACCCCCACACACACACACACACACACACACACACACACACACACACACACACACACACACACACACACACACACACACACACACACACACATGTACACAGATACACACACACGCAAACACACGACTTGAAAAAGACACAGCACAGGTGGATTATGTAACTTTTCTCACCGAGGATCTGTCATCTGCTGGTCTCCATGATGTTATTGCTTTATCTGAGATGTTTTACAATATGGCATTAAACGTATATTTATTTCACATTGCATGTTTTTCAAAGTATTTTGGAGAAATAGAAACCTGTACTTGAGTAAATGCAAGATTGCCATACTATCTTATCAATGCTCAGTCTCATCACAATAATAATAATAATAATGATAATAATAATAATAATGGAAGTGATGGAAGTGAGGGT